AAAAAAAAAAAAACATCTTCAGTTACTGAACTTCCACAACGGAACAACCAAGAACAGAAACCTACCGATGCCAAAGGGTACAAAACCATCCCTCTTCCCGTTGAACTTCCCCTCCTGATCGAGCCATCGTTCAGGCATAAACTTCTCAGCCTGTTCCCAATGCCTGGAGTCGAAGTGGATGTGAGAGAAGGCGGACGTGATGATGGTGCCCTGGGAATGCCGATTAGTGAGATGCAAAACTGTTGTGAATTTAGATGTACCTTGTCTAAGATGAAGTAATATCTAATGGTTTAATGGGAGGTAATTCTCAATGGACTTTGTTGAAGGAGATATAAATTTCCAATCGATTTTGGTTAATGAGAGAGAAATTCCAATATTCTTGTTTAATGAGAGCTGAATTCCAGTGGACCTTGTTTAATGAGAGAAATTCCAGTGGAAATGTTCCAGTGGACCTTGTTTAATGAGAGAAATTCCAGTGGACCTTGTTTAATGAGAGTTAAATTCCAGTGGACCTTATTTAATGAGAGATAAATTCCAGTGGACCTTGTTTAATGAGAGTTAAATTCTAGTGGACCTTGTTTAATGAGAGATAAATTCCAGTGGACCTTGTTTAATGAGAGTTAAATTCTAGTGGACCTTATTTAATGAGAGATAAATTCCAGTGGACCTTGTTTAATGAGAGTTAAATTCCAGTGGACCTTGTTTAATGAGAGATAATTCTAAGTGGACCTTATTTAATGAGAGATAAAAATTCAGTGGACCTTGTTATTCAAGTGACCTGTTAATGAGAGAGTGGACCTTATTTAATGAGAGATAAAATTCCAGTGGACCTTGTTTAATGAGAGTAAATTCCAGTGGACCTTGTTAATGAGAGATAAATCAGTGGACCTTACCTAATGAGAGATAATTCCAGTGGACCTTGTTTAATGAGAGAAATTCCTGTGGACTAATGAGAGAAATTCCAGTGGACCTAATGTCCCTTGTCTAATGAGAGAAATTCCAGTGGACTTTGTTTAATGAGAGCTAAATTCCAGTGGACCTTGTTTAATGAGAGATAAATTCCAATGGACATTGTATGATATCCGCTTAATTCCAGTGAAGTTAATGAATTCCAGTAGACCTTGGGTATTATAAATCAAATTCCAATAGATCCTGTTTAATTAACACTGTCTTCCAAAAGTGATTTCAAGGTACTGTATGACTGAATGGCGGTCTTGAGGATTATCATAATGTCATTTTACGTATATAAACTTGCTGTATATCACTGTAATTCAAGATACTTCGCACGCAAACCTATAAACAGCTTTCACCATGTAAAGAGAACTAACCTTGGGTATACTGTACCCAGACAGCTGGGTATCTTCATTGGCACAGTGCATGACACCAAGGGGCACAAGGGACGTTATACGAAGGATTTCGTGTATGACTGCGTCCGTGTAGGGCATGCTAGGGTAGAAGAGATACCTCACGTTAAAATGGTGTAGGTTATTTCTCCATTACACTTCGCACATATTCTTACATAGACAATACATATTAACAAGAACTTTTATATTCTAAATATCAAACTTTATGAATGTTTATAGAAAGCTTCACTTCACCACACATCGACCTACACACACACACATACACCAAAATATACATAAACACACAAACAAAAGAACATAGCCATTACTCATATATACCTTGGCCTATCGTCTAGGGTAGGAAGGGTCCCCTTGGGCAGCACTTCATCGATCTCTGCCTGCACCTTCTTCTGAATGTCAGGGTTCATGGCCATGTAGTAAAACAAGTGCGTGAGCGTGTTGGTGGTCGTCTCACTTCCGGCGAAGAATAGGTCTATCAGTAGGAAAACCAAATCTCTTTCTGGAAAGGATTAAAAAGAAGAAGAGTTACATAAAACGATATATACAGAGAAATAGCAAATCAAATGGAGAGACAGTCGAAGATTAGAGATACATAGATAGATGAATATATAGATAGATAGACAGAAAAGGTTCAAGGCAATGGTCGTGAATCAAGATGAAAGAGACACAATTTGCACGACCTAACATGACCTGCAACTTACTCGTGCGGATGGAGTCGGGGTCGTCACTCGTCTGCTCAATGTCCAGCAGGTAAGCGTCCATCAAATCCCTTGGGTTGTTTGGATCCAGCGACGCCTTGTGTTCCTGGATCGTTTCCTGTGAAAAGATTTTAAAATATATATATATATGTGTGTTTATATATATAATATATTATATATATATATATATATATATATATATATATATATATATATATATATTTATTATATATATTTATATATATATATAAATATATATATATAAATATATATATATATATATATATATATATATATATATATATATATATATATATATATATATATATGTATGTATGTATGTATATGTATATATTTCTATACATATATGTTTGATTTTATATATGTTTATATATAAATGCATACAAACATATATGTATTCTTTCTTTTTTTCTCTTTTTTCTTTTTTTTCCTTTTTCTAATTCTAGTTTGATGTGTTTGTGTTATATAAACTCTAATCGAAGCTTCCTTATATTACCATTTGATATTAGATTTTCTAAACGTCGATCAAAAAGAATGCACAATTCAAAAGAAATTTATTACCGCATACTTAATGTTAGAATTAATAATCATCGACCGAGATGAAAACTTAAATCAAAATTCTAAATCTTCATCGCCTTTCTAACGATAGATCTGATTACACTTCAACCATGAAGAATACACAAAAAGATCAAAGAAAATGCTTACGTTGAAGAAAACGAAGAATTTTTCCTTCAGGAGCTTGTTGACATCCAGCGAAAAGAGTTTATTTTGTAGGACTTTTGGCAGATATTTGAGCCAGGGAAAGAAATCGGGAATTCCTATCCAAAATGTGACGTCGTTCAGTTCCTTTATGATCCGTTCGAATTCTATCAGTTTTTCGTCTCCTATCTCGAAGGTTTTGCCTGGAAAATGTTGTGGTTTGGATTTTTTTTTTTTTTTTTTGGGGGGGGGGGAACTGTGGTCTGTGTTAAATACCTACAGCTATGTTTTTTTTTTTCTTTTGTAATATATTTTCTCTCTCTCTCTCTCTCTCTCTCTCTCTCTCTCTTTCTCTGTCTCTTCCTCTTTCTCTCTCTCTCTCTGTTATTCATATTTTTTCGTTCCCATTTCCTTTTTCTTTCTTCCTTATTCCTTTTTTTTTCATTTCATTTCTTTCCTTCTCTCTTTCATTCTTTTTGTTTTTGTTTTCTCTCTCTCTCTCCCATCTTTCATTCCTTTCCCACCTCTCCTTCGCCCTCCCACTCACCTGCGATCATATGCCAAATGACATTCGTGACGCCGACCCTGAGTGCGTGGGGCAGCGGCGCAGACCTCCCGGCTTGGTCCTTCAGCGCCTCCACCAGTTTCCTCGCTTGGACGTGGATTCCTGACACGAGCCTCGACTTGCCCATGCCCTGGTCTCTCAGCTGACGGAGGGTGAAGCGTCGGTTCGTCTGCCAAATGTGGCCGTTGCTCGCAAACACGCCTGAAGGAGGAGGGGGCGGGGGGGGGGGGGGGGGGGGGGAAGGTGAAGATGTGTATGGTATTGGCGTGAGATATAAGTGTATGATTGTGTTTCGAAAATAGCATAAAAGAAAGAAAGAAAAGAAAAGAATATATATATATATATATATATATATATATATATATATATATTATATATAGTAACACATTTGCATATACATATTTTGTGTGTGTGTGTGTGTGTGTGTGTGTGTGTGTCTGTGCGTGTGGATGTCTATATGTATGGTCTGTCTATGCAAATGTCTGCATGTATGTGTATGTATCTGGGCTTGTGTGTGTAATGCATACACGTACATGAGCGCGCATACAAAACCACACATCCACACCAAACATATAATCATTTTCCAATCACTAACAAAAATGAACGAAAACATTCCAAAACTCGCTTTCCAATCAGAACAAAAAACGAAAAATGAACGAAAACATTCCAAAACTCGCTTTCCAATCACGAACAAAATGAACGAAAACATTCCAAACTCGCTTTCCAATCACGAACAAAAATGCGAAAACATTCCAAAACTAATCACGAACAAAAATAACGAAACATTCCAAAACTTCCAACACAACAAAATGAACGAAAACATTCCAAAACTCACGAGAAACATTCCAAAACAAATCACGAACAAAAATGAACGAAAACTTCCAAACTCCTTCAATCAGAACAAAAATGAGAAAACTTCCAAAACTCGCTTTCCAATCAACAAAAATGAACGAAACATCCAAAATAATCACGAACAAATAAACGAAAACATTCCAAAACTCACTTTCCAATCACGAACAAAAATGAAACGAAAACATTCAAAACTCGCTTTCCAATCAAACAAATGAACGAAAACATTCCAAAACTCACTTTCCAATCACGAACAAAAATAAACGAAACATTCCAAAACTCGCTTTCCAATCACTAAAAAAGAACATAAACGAAAACAATTCCAAAATCACTTCCAATCACAAACGAAAAATGAACGAAAACATTCCAAAACTCGCTTTCCAATCACTAACAAAATGAACGAAAACATTCCAAAACTCGCTTTCCAATCACAAATGAACGAAACCAAAACTCGCTTCCCAATCAAAGAAAAATGAACGAACATTCCAAAACTCACTTTCCAATCACTAACAAAATGAACGAAAACATTCCAAACTCGCTTCCAATCACGAACAAAAATGAACGAAAACATTCCAAAACTCGCTTCCAATCACGAACAAAAATGAACGAAAACATTCAAAACTCACTTCCAATCACTAACAAAAAAACGAAAACTTTCCAATCAAAAACGAACAAAAATGAACGAAAACATTCCAAAACTCGCTTTCCAATCACGAACAAAAATGAACGAAAACATTCCAAAACTCGCTTTCCAATCACTAACAAAAAAAAATGAACGAAAACATTCCAAAACTCGCTTTCCAATCACTAACAAAAAACAAAAAAAACGAAACATTCCAAAACTTTCCCAATCACGAAAAAAATGAACGAAAACATTCCAAAACTCGCATTCAAAACTCATTTCAATCACTAACAAAAATGAACGAAAACATTCCAATCACTCCAATCATTTAACAAATGGAACGAAAAAAACATTCAAAACTGAACTTCCAATCACTTAATCACTGAACGAACATTCAAAACTCCTTTCCAATCACGACAAAAATGAACGAAAACTTCCAAAACTCACTTTCCAATCACGAACAAAATGAACGAAACATTTCCAAAACTCACTTCCAATCACTAAAAGAACGAACGAAAACATTCCAAAACTCACTTTCCAATCATAACAAAAATGAAGAAAAACATTCCAAAACTTTCCATCACAACAAATTAACGAAATCATTCCAAAACTCACGCTTTCCAATCACGAACACACTAACAAAAATGAACGAAAACATTCAAAACTCACTTTCCAATCTACGAACAAAATGAACGAAACATTCCAAAACTCGCTTCCAATCACTACACAAAATGAACAAAATGAGAAAACATTCCAAACTCGCTTTCAATCACTAACAAAAGAACAAATGAACGAAAACATTCCAAAACTCACTTTCCAATCACTAACAAAAATGAACGAAAACATTCAAACTCATTTCCAATCACTAACAAATGAACGAAAACTTCCAACTCACTTTCCAATCACTAACAAAATGACGAAACATTCAAAACTCACTTTCCAACACTAACAAAAATGAACGAAAACATTCCAAAACTCACTTTCCAATCACGAACAAAAAGAACGAAAACATTCCAAAAACTCACTTTCCAATCACGAACAAAAATGAACGAAAACATTCCAAAACTCATTCCAAAACAAAAATGAACAACATTCACTCACTTTTCCAATCACTAACAAAATGAACGAAAACATTCAAAACTCCTTTCCAATCACGAACAAAAATTGAACGAAAACATTCCAAAACTCACTAATCAAACAAAAAATGAACGAAAACATTCCAAAACTCACTTTTCCAATCATAACAAAATGAACGAAAAATCATTACAAAACTCACTTTCCCAATCACAACAAAATGAACGAAAACATTCCAAAAACTTTCCAATCACGAACAAAAATAAACGAAAACATTCAAAACTCGCTCACAAACAAATGAACGAAAACATTCCAAAACTCACTTTCCAATCACGAACAAAAATGAACGAAAACATTCCAAAACTCACTTTCCAATCACTAACAAAATGAACGAAAACATTCCAAAACTCACTTTCCAATCACTAACAAAAATGAACGAAAACATTCCAAAACTCGCTTTCCAATCACTAACAAAAAATGAACGAAAATTCCAAAACTCACTTTCAAACAAAAATGAACGAAAACATTCCAAAACTCGCTTTCCAATCACGAACAAAAAGAACGAAAACATTCCAAAACTCACTTTCCAAACACGAACAAAAATGAACGAAAACATTCCAAAACTCACTTTCCAATCACGAACAAAAATGAACGAAAACATTCCAAAACTCGCTTTCCAATCACGAACAAAATGAACGAAAACATTCCAAAACTCACTTTCCAATCACGAACAAAAATGAACGAAAACATTCCAAAACTCACTTTCCAATCACGAACAAAAATGAACGAAAACATTCCAAAACTCGCTTTCCAATCACGAACAAAAATGAACGAAAACATTCCAAAAAATCACGAACAAAATGAACGAAAACATTCCAAAACTCGCTTTCCAATCACGAACAAAAATGAACGAAACATTCCAAACTCGCTTTCCAATCACGAACAAAAATGAACGAAAACATTCCAAAACTCACTTTCCAATCACTAACAAAAATGAACGAAAACATTCCAAAACTCGCTTTCCAATCACGAACAAAATGAACGAAAACATTCCAAAACTCGCTTTCCAATCACGAACAAAACGAAAATTCCAAACTCACTTCCAATCACCGAAAACATTCCAAAACTCGCTTTTCACGAACAAAAATGAACGAAAACATTCCAAAACTCACTTTCCAATCACGAACAAAAATGAACGAAACATTCCAAAACTCTTTCCAATCGAACGAAGACAAAAATGAACGAAAACATCCAAAACTCCCAATCACGAACAAAACATTCCAAACTCACTTTCAATCACGAACAAAAATGAACGAAAACATTCCAAAACTCACTTTCCAATCACGAACAAAAATGAACGAAAACATTCCAAAACTCACTTTCCGAACAAAAAACGAAAAAAAACTCACTTTCCAATCACAACAAAATGAACGAAAACATTCCAAAACTCGCTTTCCAATCACGAACAAAATGAACGAAAACATTCCAAAAGCTTTCCAATCACGAACAAAAATGAACGAAAACATTCCAAAACTCTTTCCAATCACTAACAAAAATGAACGAAAACATTCCAAAACTCGCTTTCCAATCAAACAAAATGAACGAAAACATTCCAAAACTCGCTTTCCAATCACGAACAAAAATGAACGAAAACATTCCAAAATCGCTTTCCAATCACGAACAAAAATGAACGAAAACATTCCAAAACTCGCTTTCCAATCACGAAACAAAAATGAACGAAAACATTCCAAAATCTCGAAAACATTTCCAAAACTCACTTTCCAATCACTAACAAAAATGAACGAAAACATTCCAAAACTCACTTTCCAATCACTAACAAAATTAACGAAAACATTCCAAAACTGCAAAAACAAAACTTTTCCAATCACTAACAAAATGAACGAAAACATTCCAAAACTCACTTTCCAATCAAACAAAAATGAACGAAAAAAAACTCGAAAAACAAACTCGCTTTCAATCACTAACAAAAATGAACGAAACATTCCAAAACTCACTTTCCAATCACGAACAAAAAAACGAAAAATTCCAAAACTCACTTTCCAATCACGAACAAAAATGAACGAAAACATTCCAAAACTCACTTTCCAATCACAAAAAATGAACGAAAACATTCCAAAACTCGCTTTCCAATCACTAACAAAAATGAACGAAAATTCCAAAACTCACTTTCCAATCACGAACAAAATGAACGAAAACATTCCAAAACTCGCTTTCCAATCAAAAAAATGAACGAAAACATTCCAAAACTTTTCCAATCACGAACAAAATGAACGAAAACATTCCAAAACTCGCTTTCCAATCACGAACAAAAATGAACGACGAAAACGAAAACATTCCAAAACTTTCCAATCACGAACAAAAATGAACGAAAATTCCAAAACTCACTTTCCAATCAAACAAAAAAACGAAAACATTCCAAAACTCGCTTTCCAATCACGAACAAAAATGAACGAAAACATTCCAAAAACTCGCTTTCCAATCACGAACAAAAATGAACGAAAACATTCCAAAACTCGCTTTCCAATCACGAACAAAAAACAAAAATGAACGAACATTCCAAAACTCGCTTTCCAATCACGCAAAAATGAACGAAAAACATTCCAAAACTCGCTTTCCAATCACGAGAAAAAATGAACGAAAACATTCCAAAACTCGCTTTCCAATCACGAACAAAAATGAACGAAAACATTCCAAAACTCGCTTTCCAATCACGAACAAAATGAACGAAAACAAAACTTTTCCATTAACAAAAATGAACGCTTTCCAATCACGAACAAAAATGAACGAAAACATTCCAAAACTCGCTTTCCAATCACGAACAAAAATGAACGAAAACATTCCAAAACTCACTTTCCAATCAAAACAAAAAAACGAAAACATTCCAAAACAATCACGAACAAAATGAACGAAAACATTCCAAAACTCACTTTCCAATCAAACAAAATGAACGAAAACATTCCAAAACTCGCTTTCCAATCACGAACAAAAAATGAACGAAAACATTCCAAAACTCGCTTTCCAATCACGAACAAAAATGAACGAAAAATTCCAAAACTCCCAATCAAACAAAATGAACGAAAAAAAACTCACTTTCCAATCACAACAAAAATGAACGAAAAATTCCAAAACTCGCTTTCCAATCACGAACAAAAATGAACGAAAACATTCCAAAACTCACTTTCCAATCAAACAAAAATGAACGAAAACATTCCAAAACTCACTTCCAATCACTAACAAAAATGAACGAAAACATTCCAAAACTCGCTTTCCAATCACTAACAAAAATGAACGAAAAACATTCCAAAACTCGCTTTCCAATCACGAACAAAAATGAACGAAAACATTCCAAAACTCGCTTTCCAATCACGAACAAAATGAACGAAAACATTCCAAAACTCTTTCCAATCACGAACAAAAATGAACGAAATTCCAAAACTCGCTTTCCAATCACGAACAAAAATGAACGAAAAATTCCAAAACTCGCTTTCCAATCACGAAAAAAAAGAACGAAAACATTCAAAACTCGCTTCCAAAACTCGCTTCCAATCACGAACAAAAATGAACGAAAACATTCCAAAACTCACTTTCCAATCACGAACAAAAATGAACGAAAACATTCCAAAACTCGCTTTCCAATCACGAACAAAAAATGAACGAAAACATTCCAAACTCACTTTCCAATCATGAACGAAAATTCCAAAACTCTTTCCAATCACGAACAAAATGAACATTCCAAAACTCGCTTTCCAATCACGAACAAAAATGAACGAAAACATTCCAAAAATCCAAAAATTTCTCGCTTTCCAATCACTAACAAAAATGAACGAAAACATTCCAAATTTCCAAGAACAAAAATGAACGAAAAACATTCCAAAACTCGCTTTCCAATCACTAACAAAAATAAACGAAAACATTCCAAAACTCGCTTTCCAATCACTAACAAAAATGAACGAAAACATTCCAAAACTCGCTTTCCAATCACTAACAAAAATGAACGAAAAATTCAAACTTTTCCAATCACGAACAAAAATAACGAAACATTCCAAAACTTTTCCAATCACTAACAAAAATGAACGAAAACATTCCAAAACTCGCTTTCCAATCACGAACAAAAATGAACGAAAACATTCCAAAAAATCACGAACAAAATGAACGAAACATTCCAAAACTCGCTTTCCAATCACTAACAAAATGAACGAAAACATTCCAAAACTCACTTTCCAATCACTAACAAAAATGAACGAAAACATTCCAAAACTCACTTTCCAATCACGAACAAAAATGAACGAAAACATTCCAAAACTCACTTTCCAATCACTAACAAAAATGAACGAAAACATTCCAAAACTGAAACAAAAATGAACGAAAACATTCCAAACTCGCTTTCCAATCACGAACAAAAATGAACGAAAACATTCCAAAACTCGCTTTCCAATCACGAACAAAAATGAACGAACATTCCAAAACTGTTCAAAACTCGCTTTCCAATCACTAACAAAAATGAACGAAAACATTCCAAAACTCACTTTCCAATCACGAACAAAAATGAACGAAAACATTCCAAAACTCTTTCCAATCACGAACAAAAATGAACGAAAACATTCCAAAACTCGCTTTCCAATCACGAACAAAAATGAACGAAAACATTCCAAAACTCGCTTTCCAATCACGAACAAAAAAGAACAAAAAAAAACATTCAAAACTCGCTTTCCAATCACGAACAAAAACGAACAAAAATGAACGAAAACATTCCAAAACTCGCTTTCCAATCACGAACAAAAATGAACGAAAATTCCAAAACTTTCCAAACAAAATGAACGAAAATTCAAAACTAATCACGAACAAAATGAACGAATTCCAAGAACGAATTCCAAACTCACTTTCCAATCAAAAAAATGAACGAAAACATTCCAAACTCGCTTTCCAATCACGAACAAAAATGAAAAAAAAACGAAAATTCCAAAACTCACTTTCCAATCACGAACAAAAATAACGAAAACATTCCAAACTCACTTTCCAATCACGAACAAAAAAAACGAAAACATCCAAAAACTCAATCACTAACAAAAATGAACGAAAACATTCCAAAACTCGCTTTCCAATCACGAACAAAAATGAACGAAAACATTCCAAAACTCACCCAATGGAACTTTCTCCTCCAAGGTGATCATGTCCCAGCCCGGTCGATCGGTGAAGGATTTGCTGGCGAAAACTTCCTTGGTCAGTTTGAAGTTGTTGACGAACACGACCACCTGGGTCCCCATTCTCCACCTGCGAGGATTTAATATACTTTTTATTCTTATTCGTATGTGAATTAGATTATTTGTCTATTTATCTATTTATTTGACTACTTTGTTTACATTTTCTTTGCCTATTTTTTATTTATTCATATGTGAATTAGCTTATTTGTTTATTTATCTATTTATTTGACTACTTTATTTACATTTTATTTGCCTATTTTTATTTTCATTTATTTTTTTTTTTTTTTTTTTTTATTTGACTTTATTCATTCTTCTCTTTTTGATAATAATGCACAATTACGGTCTGCGGCCCTTACCAATTATATTAGATTTGATGTCGTATTAGAAACAAAAGAATTAAAAGATTCTTAGATCTGGAAACCTTTAAACATACGTGCAAGTATATATGTAAGAATCCTAAATATCTGTATATAGAGTATGTATATATACATACATATTATAGATAGGCTTATACACGCATTCACGCATAGACACACACATCACATGTGTGTGTATGTGTATATGCATATATGTGTGTGTGTGTGTGTGTGTGTGTGTGTGTGTGTGTGTGTGTGTGTGTGTGTGTGTGTGTGTGTGTGTGTGTGTGTGTGTGTGTGTGTGTGTGTGTGTGTGTGTGCATGTGTGTTGTACTTATCTACGTTTAAGAGGAAAATGATCATGAACTCAACAGAGTAGATACTAACAGGAAGATATCCCCGTACTGTTTGCGAAGGAGTGTAGCTTGTTCTTCTATTGATTTACCGTTGAGAGGAAGATACCCAATCAAGGGAAGACCCCAGCGACCTGGAAGAAGGAAGTTATTATTACTATTTGAATGGTAGTTATTTTTTTCTGGACATTTCTCTTTTTATTTCGTACCATATCTTTCAGTCTATGTGGGTTTCTCGGTGGTAATGTCTATCTTCCTCTTTTTTTTTTTTTTTTCTTCTCTTCTCGTCTTCTGATCTCTTTCTCTCTTCCTCTTTCTCTCTCTCTCTCTCTCCTCCCCCCCCTCTCTCTCTCTCTATCCCTCCCTCCCTCAATCTCTTTCACTCTTTCTCTTTCACTTTCCTTTCCCTCTCTCTCTCACTCTCACTGTAACTCTCACTCATTCAATCTCTCACTTTTTTTTTACTCTTTATCTACCTGGTGGCAGTCCTTTCGGTTTCTGGAAGAAGGAGAGATACAGAAGGATGGCCAGAGCTGTTCCCAAGACAACTTCCACCACATCTTGAAAATTGTTTCTACACAACCAAGTCACAACCGTATGTTCTTCTGAAAAAAAAAAAAAAATGGAATGTGTTCGAGTTACATTTTTTCTTTTTTTCTTTTTGCCTTTTGTTCGTTATATATGTGTGGATACGTTTTGATTTATTGGTAAGGATATCAGATTAGTTAAAGTTTCTACGTGTCAGAAAAATATGCTGCAAGTAGATAATATTATGCTGTAGCGATGATGAAGATTTTTATAGATGCAATCGTACAGATTTGAAATATTACACGATTATTATAGAAGTATATAATATTATGTTGTAGCGATGATGAAGATTTTTATAGATGCAATCGCACAGATTTTAAAATATTACACTATTATTAAGAAGTATATAATATTATGCTATAGCGATGACGTAGATTTTTACAGTTGCAATCGCACAGATTTGAAATATTACACTATTATTAAAGAAGTATTAATATTATGCTGTAGCGATGATGAAGATTTTTACAGATGCAATCGTACAGATTTGAAATGTTGCCGATTATTATGGACTGAAGCGATGCACTGACCACTCAAGACTGCGAGCAAGATGGGTTCGTATCTTGCATGCCCGTTGCCAAAACTGTCGTACCTTTTTACGGTAAAACTCTACGCATCTTTCTCAAAGTATTTTTTTACTTTCTCGTCTTGTGCAGGCTTTCAACCAGAAAAAGGTACCGATTTTTAAAACATGATTAGTTATTTTGGCGTAATAATGATTTTCCCTCGCAGTTTATGACGTACCATGATTATTGTCTTGTCACCATGACAAAAAAAAAAATATTATCGCAAGATAAGTCTATCCGAGATAAAGCTAGTGTGTGCATGGGTTCATACATTCTTGTATAAATGACAGTAAATAAAGTCATATTTCAATCATACTATTTAGACCTTAGTGCAAGCACATGGTTCTAAAAAAACAGTCGTTGGCAACTGCCTCTTCCTACCTGGTGGTACCCGACAGGACTGCAGTCACGGATGGGTCATGGGCTTAGAATAGGTCCTTCGGCCGACCTTCCTGAACTGTGATCTAGTGGCAAGTTCCTTCTTACGATCATTTTGTGACGAATATTATTTTGGTGTGTTTATTGTGTTTAAGTTGCGTGGCTGGTGATGCTGTGTTAAAGTACGTCGTGTGATTTTTATGCATAATGTATTGTTTTATGACTGCCCGTTGTCATTGTGTGCATGGTTTTTTTTCTGTATAACAAGCTGTAATTTGTTACGCACTCTTCTGCCCGCCATGTTATAAGAGCTGATAACATGACGTAGTACGAAGGAGACCCTGTTAATGACTCTATTAAACCTTATCAGTTCCAATTCATAAAGCTGAGCATTTGCAGATAACGGTTACTCTAATTTTGTTCTGGAGTTCAGCACCGATGCAGAACAAGGGACGTCGTGTGATTTGTATGCATAATGTACTATCGTTGTGTGCATGGTTTGTTGATTTTTTCTGTATAACTAGCTACAATTTTTACACACTTTCTCCATGTTATAAGAGCTGATAACATGACTTTTACAGCATATCAAGTCGCAATGGCTCCACCGCCTTCGCCATCGTCGCATTGTCGTATCCCTAGACGCTTAGGTATCGCTCAAACTATACGCATTTTCGAGCACATTATTTGAACGATGGATATTATCCTTCGTCTGGGGTAGCTGGGCGAAGCTTAGTTTACGCATTTATAAAGAATAACGATATCACGCGTAGGAATGGTTTTAAATATATTAGACTATTTTTATTCGAAATCAATTTTTACTTACGCAAATGTCGTACAAAAAATAAGTGCCTTCTTTTTTAAGGAGAATGGCGTTGTTAACAATAGATTTCGAGACAACAGACGGACGTTTCAGAGATTATATGCACATGAATACGTTATATTTTCCTTTCTTATATCTGAGTAAAGGAAATTTTAGACCCTGCGACTGTAAGCATGAAATGATAAGTGATATTAGATTCATGCCAAATACCGATCTTGTACATAATTTTTTTACATAATTCTGTTATGTGTATATATCTATATATGTGTTGTGTTGTGTGTGTGTGTGTATTATATATATATATATATATATATATATATATATATATATATATATATATATATATAATATATATATATATATATATATATATATATATATATATATATATATATATATATATATATATATATATATATATATATATATATATATATATATATATATATGTGTGGTGTGTGTGTGTGTGTGTGTGTGTGTGTGTGTGTGTGTGTGTGTGTGTGTGTGTGTGTGTGTGTGTGTGTGTGTGTGTGTGTGTGTGTGTGTGTGTGTGTGTGTGTGTGTGTTGTGTGTGTGTGTGTGTGTGTATGTATATATATATACATATATATAATATATATATATATATATATATATATATATATATATATATATATATATTATATGTATATATGTATGTGTGTGTGTGCGTGTGTGTGGTGTGTGTGTGTTGTGGTGTGTGTGGATGTATGTATGTATGTATATGTATTAAACTTATATATATATATATATATATATATATATATATATATATATATGTATTATCTATATAAACATATATGTATATATATAACTTGTATACATGTCTATATCTATACAGACATATATATGTATATATGTACTTAAATGTATATGTATATAAACATGAATATATTTATGTATATATATATATATATATATATATATATATATATATATATATATATATATACTTTATATGCCTATGTATATAGACATATATATGTATCTATGTATACAACCATATATATGCATATATGTATATATGTTTATGAAGGCATATATATATATTTATGTAATATATATTATATATATATATATATATATATATATAATATATATATATATAGAGAGAGAGAGAGAGAGAGAGAGAGAGAGAGAGAGAGAGAGAGAGAGAGATTTTTTACTGTTAACCATATATATATTTTTTATGATTGTTTTTCATATATACTTACTATAGGATTTATTATTAGATACATATAAATATACTACAATGCATAGATATTAAAAGTTTCCAAGATATCAAGATATTTTATACTCTCATTCACATTTTAGTATGCAGGAGTATATTCACTATATGCATGACCTGGAAGAATGAGAAGAGTGGGAAGAACTTGATGCAGCCATAAGAAGGAGGTTCAAGAAACGACGGGATCTTTTTTATTATTATTATTATTGAGGTATTAGTTAATAGTGATATATGTTAATAGTGACTACAAGAGCAAATATTGTCGGAAGACACTTTTGATTAAAGTGACTGTTGTATGAAAGATGGAATAATGCACTGGCCGCATTTGATATGACTGTTGTATGTTTACTTACGGGAAAGGGTTTTTGTGTGAAATAAAAAAAAAATCGATGTAAGTTTGCCTTTATATATCCTTTTTAGTATGGTCTTTTGGATAATGTTAAAATTGCTGAATCAATATATGTAAAATAAAATTAATATAATTTTCTGTTTTAATGCAAAAATTTGTATCAAAATACAAGAATGTATTTTAAAAAATAGGTAAAATAAATATGATATTGCAGTCCATAGCATATCTAACATATACTTGTGAAGTGAACATAAGATGAAAGATACAATCTTTCAGGTTTAATGCAGAAAAAATGGCAGCAACTGGAGTTTTACTTCCTTCCGACTTACCAACTGATCAGAAACTCTTTCACATAAGTACCAAATTGGTTTAATTGTATTACTGTATATTAATGTTGGAGTTTCATCATGTATTCTCAACAATTTCATTATATGTAAACCTGTGTAAATCCCTCGTAATTGCGTAATTCCAAATTACATAATAGTGTAATTCGCATAGGTTGGTAATTGTCATTCAAAGCGATAGCGATCGCGTTCAATTGGGACTAGGGATACCTGATGGTCATTGTTCGTGGTACATTGCGACGGTCGCATCGATACGATAACCATGACAATGGCGAAGGACTAGGGATATGGCCGTTAATACGAAGGAGAGCCTTTTAATGACTATTAAACCTTATCAGTTTCAGTTCATAAAGCTGAGCATTTGCAGATAACGGTTACTCTACTCTTGTTCTGGAGTTCAGCACTGATGCAGAACAAGGGACCCACGCAAGAGTAAATAATGTTGGCTGAGTTGTTACTCGGGGCGGCGCTCCTCTACCTGCTGTGGTTCGCGGTCTTCAAAAAGCCTGATGGGCTGCCACCAGGTGAGTCTCTGGGATAACAGGAGGAACTGTTCCTGTTGACTCGAACAACAGGTGAATCTGGGAAACTACCTATTAATATCAACAGCAGGTGAGGCTATTGACTAACAGGAGAAACGCAACCAATTTTAACAACAGGTGAATCTGGGAAACTACCTATTCATTACAACAGCAGGCTATTGACTAATAGGGGAAACACCATCAAATTACTTTTAACAACAGGGGAGTCCGTCGGCTTACAAACAGGTGAAACTAGGCATGTTTTAACAGGGGATTGTGTTACTGTACGATATGTTGGGCTACGGCAACGGCGCCCCGCCACGCGCGAGTTAAAAACGGCGGGAGTGTAAACAAAGACTAAGTAAAGGGAAGCACGTTCACTGAAGTCTGTTATTTATCAACCCTACATGGCGCAGTGATTTGTTTATTTCTACACACCTACCATGGCATCATGTCGCCCCCGCCTTGCCACTCAAACACCACAATGACAGACACCATGTACGCCAGTAACATTAGAGCAAGCTCAGCAGATGCTAATGGCTCAGGGTGTAGCTATTGCCTCCTTACAACGGCAGCTGGTACCGCAGCCGGTCGTGCAGCAACAGACACCTTGGACCCCTGCACCTGCAGCACCACAGAAGTGTGATGGAGTGCTGGTTGGGGTTTAGTGGCTTGTTGCAACCACAGGCAGTGCTACACATATGCCTCTACTGTATGCCAGCCTTGCAACGCGCCCTGGACGCCTGGTTCACGATGGCAGAGTGGCAGGCATTGTCTACTAAAGAGGCTCTGAACACCATTGGTCGCATCACTCGTCAAGCAACCAACAAAGCTACAAATTGGTGCAAATTCTTCGCCCTTAATCAACTTCCTAGCGAACCTGTAAGTGACTACTTTATGTGTTCAGCTCAGTGTGTTGCAGATTGTGAGTTTCAGTGCCCTCAATGTCATGGTAATCTATCAGAGTATATGCTCCTTTGGAAGTTGATGTCAGGATTGTACAGTGTGTCACTGAAAGAGAAAGTGTTTCGTATGTATACATCTTTCAGTGATGTGGACTCACTACGTGAAAACTGCATGGCATTTGAGGCAGTTCAAAGAGATGCCAACAATAGTTTTGGCTGAAACGACCGTGTATGTATGGCGGCAGCCGGCTCCATACCACAGAACAGTGACTTGCCGCTGACTGCAGGCACTCGCCACCTAGTTAAACCCCACCCTTACGGTAACTGCGGCGGCACTCACTCACTAGGGAAGACAGCGTGCCCTGCTAGGCTGCTTGCCTGTCATCAGTGTGGAAAGCTTGGACATCTGAAAAGAATGTGCAGAGGTAAAGGGAAGTGCACAGTGACAGCAGAGGATGTTGAAGCCTCGGGCATTGTGGTTGCTGCTA